CTTTGTTCACTTATAAACACTACTGAAGTACTAGATACAATAAAATTTACAAAACGTTATGATATTTTTAAAATTATAGTTTAAATGTATGATAATTTTTATTTTATCTCAAACTCGTGACTGATATTACTAGTTAGCTTGCTTACTGTAATTGAAATAAACTTGATTTATTACAATACGTTTGCGTGATTTAATTTTATCTTAAATACTTGTCACACATTTTGCTCTAGCTAAATCAAAATTCAAGTGAAATTGATAACCTGGCTCAACACCTGGAGTCCAATTGTCTGAACGCTTGAACTGAACATCAAGTCAAAAAAGATTATGATTCAATTGTCACCTATACAATGAAATCATTATCATTTAATTAATAAGATTGTAAAATTTAAGCATACGCCAATGCATAGAGAATTGAATTAATAAAGATAAATATTCAAGCACTCTTACAACCTTTGAAATTACAACTACTTTACAAAAGATTACATAAAAATGTGTGAAAAATGAATAAAAGAGTCGGCAATGAAATGATAATTAAGAAAAAAGTTGATTTTATTTTCAGAAAAGAGTTGAAAGAAAATGTCACCAAATTTAGCCACAATTTTACTCATTTTGTCTCTTATTTCGAGATTTAATGGACAGAAATGTGAGTTAATTTTAGACAAAAAATTCTTACGTTATTCTGGTGTCAACCCTATTGTACCCCAAAATAGACACCAATTTTTTGGAGACCAACAAAAGGGATATTCAAATAAATATCGGAGAAAGCGATTCCTTTGAACTTTATGTCCGAAAGTGAGACCAAAACCTAAATCCTAAACAACTTTAAAATATTTAAAACTTTGTTTTCAGTGAAAAAGCGCTGAACTTGTCTTTTGAAGTGTCCGTCAGTTGCGATACTTCTGACGAAAAATGCAAAACATTTTCTCCAATCGCCTCAACTGTCGTCCGATTTTCACCGCAAGACTCGCGCTTCCGGTTCAACACATCGGCCACTAATGCCGGACACGACGTCGTCATCGCCCGTATTGTCCGCAACGACACTCACATCGAGTATAACAAAAATACATAAAACTATTAAATCAGCCTTTCCTCACATCCCATTTCTCGATCGACAGCGACTCCGAGGCCTACGTGCGGGTACGGGTGGGCCACTCGCAGGTGTGGTCAGTGTTGGCTGATGTTGTCGGTTGGGTATACTTCGTCATATGGTCGGCCAGCTTTTGGCCGCAAAACATCCAGAACTACCGGCGCAAGTCAGTGGTGGGTCTGAACCAGGACTTCGCCGCTCTCAATGTCTCCGGATTCCTCTTCTACTCCATCTTCAACTCCGGTCTCTATTTCTCAGCCAAAGTCCAGTCCCTCTACGAGGAGGCATTCCCGCGATCAGAGATTCCCATTTTGCTCAATGATGTCGTGTACGCCTATCACGCGGCCTTTGCGACCGCAATCACTCTCATCCAGTGTTACATCTATGAGGTTAGTGTCAAAGGTCATGATCAGGACATGGCTCATGTAATTTGTATTCACGTGTGGATAGAGGGGCGGACAGACTATGTCTTGGTTAGGGAAGCTGTACTTAGCTGTCACGTGGACTGCGGCCGGTATCCAACTGGTGTTGAGTTGGACGGGTGTCATGTCATGGCTCACGTATCTCTACTATTTCTCTTATGTCAAACTCAGCGTCACTTTAATTAAATACGCCCCACAGGTATGATATAGATAACTAAGCACCCAGATTGTACTATTTACTATCAAAAAAAGTACCTAGACTCTATGTACTTAGCTCGCCTGTTTCACAAAACTCAATCATTCATTAAGGGTTTGTTTTCAATAACTTATTTTATTAATCAGTGAAAAGGTATAAAAAAATAATAGATTAGCCCAACATTTTTGGTCGACACCGAGACCTTCTTCAGGGCTTAAGACATGGTAACAGATATTGATTTAAATATTAAATACTGACTGAATTTAAGTAAGAAAACTTAATATTAAGTTGAGGGATTCAAAATGAAAATATGTACAATGTTGCATTTATATAAGTCTGCCAATTTATAAATATATATGAACTGACCTTACTCAATTTCAAATGATTTATTATGTAAGGCGTGGTCCAACTATAAGCGTAAGTCAACGAGTGGATGGTCCATATATATGATCTATATGGACATCTCGGGCGGTGTCAACGGACTCTTGCAGATGATATTCATTGCCTACAACTTCGGTAATGAAATATATATTTAGGTTTATATCAACCAAAAGCTATTCAAAGCTAAACACAATGTTTTTGATGTCAGACGACTGGAAGACTATTTTTGGTAATCTCCCCAAATTTGGTCTCTCTGTGGCCTCCATTGCATACGACATCCTATTCCTCCTCCAAGAGTTTGTCTTTTACCGCAACAAAGACCCCAGTCTTCAGCCCATGAATCAAGAGAAACGCTTATCGAGAAGTGAAAGTGAAAGCAAACAGAGTTGAGATATACTGATATATACAGTACCTTGTTTATTTATTACATTTCATTGAGCTTGTTTTGAATGTCATTGCCTTTCTTATTTAATTATTGACGGGTATTACAAGTATATTATGAAATACTTATTGATTATGTAATGTTGATTTAAATTCATTATGGTATAACTACATTTATACATTCACATTATGTGTGTAGGTGTGCAGGTATGAGATCATAAATATCCTGTTCGTAATATTTATTATAATCATAGTAACAGCGATAAAATAGAAATATTTTCAATGTAATAATGTTAAATGATTTTTATTTTAACACATATTTTATTTTATAACTTAATAAAATGCCAAATAAATTGAGTTTGACATAATTAAAATCTTGTGTATTGTGAATTGTTAGTTGTTTTTAACATTTTTATATTATAATAACTTATTTATAATATTTGTTTTTATAAGTTATTTCATATTAGTGTTAATAATAATGTCTATATTTAAGAAACTTGACGATCATTTCAGACTTGAATCAAATGCTATACAAATGTATGCTTCAGACTCTTTGGACAGATTTGGTGACGATTTGTGTCAACACTTACTGTCTTTCCTATCATTTGAGGACCGATTCCGATGTCAATGTGTGTCCACTCAATGGCAACGAGTCATATATATGGGACAAACTGTGCTCACAATTGACAGCAAATTGTTAACAAAATTAACGAAAAACTTTAATTCCGATGAAATTGATGCCGTATTTGAATCCAAGATAAAAAAGTGTCAAAATATCCAATACATTGTATTGTGTTATAAAATACATTTAGTAATAATTAATAATAATTAATAATAACTGATGAGTCATTCATTGAATTTATTTAATTTAAACCCATTTTTGCACTTTTATTGCATTCCTAGTTATGACATTAAAAATTGTAATAGATCAAAACCTAAATCTGGTATTATGGAAATTTATATGTTTAAAGTGACCCCCACCTTATTTTCTTGACCACATCCTCATCGTGAATACCCATCGAAATCGGTGTGACGTGTCCGGCCATCATCTCAAATATGCGCAGATCACGGGGTAGCCTCCCTTTCCCATAGTTGAGCAAGCTGATTAACTGACACAATAGGGACAAACATCCAAACGCAGTGCAAAGGCCGTTGGTCATGATACCGGTGCCCATAAAATACTCAATGTCTCCACACCATAGCCTAGTTTCGGGCGACACCTCCAGGTTTCGGTAAATTATTAGCAATATATTTCGGACAACATGTTGAGCCAACCATATGAATACTATTAACGGATTGTACCAGGGTCGACGTCGGCACCGAGATATGGGTCTAAATAGTGTTAAGCCAATGAGGTATAGGTGACTATCGGCGCCTGGTATACGTAGTTCCGGCGGTAGTATATGCTCTGGATCAAACTTTTGATTTTCCCTGATTAGCGATTTTATTTTAGGTAAATGTAGGTGATTATTATTGGTGTTAGTGTTAATCATTGTTGTTGTATAATTTTAAAAGTTATATTAATATAATATTATTGTGATAAATTAATAAGTATTGAATAACTAAGTAGGGCAAATATATGGCAAGTTGACAGTAAATGTGAAATATGTGCGAGCTGTCACATATAAATGTTTTATTAATTCGTTAATTGACCAATAAAGTCAACAATGGAAATATACTGTGTCTTATGATGTATAAGTATAATTGACTATATTATAATAATAAAATATTATATATATATTTTATGAAAATACGGTAATACACAATTTAAATATAATATTATCAAATTCATTTCTAATGATGAGAAATCAACATATTAATTTTATAAATTAAATAATAAATTAATATTCATTAGACGCAGTTTACAGTAATTATGTATTGGAAAAATATATTTAAATTACTCAACATAAAATACCTCATAATATCCCAAAAATTAATTTGTTATTTTGACCTAAATAATCTTTATGATATAGTAATTTGTATCATAATTACAGTACATAAGTACAGCAAGCATAATTACTAGTTAGCCAACACCAAATGAAATAGTTATTTATATTTTGAAAATAGCTAGCTATAATTACTAGTAATAATATCATGCTTTTCATGAGCATGTGTTAGCAATAAATGACATTTATATTAATATCAACACATTTTCATAATTTATTTTTATTTCTGTTTATTTTTATTATTATTATGCTAGGCCACAACTAATCGCAAATATCGATTGCAATTTTCAATTAATACAAATGTATTTATAAACGCGTGTATCATATCAATATTTTAGAATAATAACATAATGATAATTAATTATTATTTATTTTTTTGTTATAACATATAATGTATTTAAATACAATAATCATAATCTTTAAATACCGTTTATTTTATTAATTGCATTGTGTCCTAAAATAATTAATGTAACAAATTTTAAGTGCAAACGAGCATATTTAGTTAGTTATACATAACTCAGACTATTATTAGTAATACAATGTCAAATAAGTATTATTAATAATTTATTATATTAATTTTACTTTTGAAAACATGTTATTCGGGCAAAAGTATTTCGGGCAAACGTATTTCGGGCAAATGTACCACTCCCATTTTATGTATTAAATTAGATTTATATTTCAAAAACTTCAGTAATAGTTTTAATAATGAAAAGTCTATATAAATAAGCATTTGATGTCACTTTTGACAATCGTATAATAATAATATGAATTAATACTGAAAAAGCATAACAAATTGATTTTGCAACAAATGTACAAATTATTACATAATTATAATAATCAATTGATAATAATAATCATAATCATAACATAATTATTACATATTATTATGTACATATGTGCAACAACTGTATTAATATTATTATTCAATAGTACTTACATGTAAATGTACTCAGTATAGTATTTAACTTTAATGGTCTTGCTGAACTCAATACTGCAATTAATTGCTATTATAGTCATTAACAAGTATTTGTAAATATTATCGATATAATAATTTACACCTATTTCAGTATAAATGCATTTAATTTATTAGCGATTAATGAAAATTGTCAAGGATACATAACTTATATAATATAAGTATAACACACTAATACCGTATTAGTTTAGTATTACAATATGACTTCCAGTAAAACGGTAAACGTATTTGAAGAACTTGATGTCAATCAAGTAATACCCGGATCATTGGCCATCAGGAGTGCCGGCACTCACTTGTATAGCATCGGTCTCTCAGCCCATAAGCCATTGAATGCTCCGCAGAGGCGATGGTTTCACAAACCGATTGTTGTTTTCGCAACACTTTTATCGCAATATTTTGGCCGACAATTGGTGTCAATACTAATACCGCAACAAAATGAACGGTTTTATGCCATCATTGGGGACGTCACCTACTCTTTAGGTCCAGGTAGGTTTCATACATCCATTGCTCTGATGGCTGCAGCAGTTATAGCCCTGTCCTCACAGTTACTAAACTTTTATAACTTCATGAATGGTATAAAACCGCGGGATTTGTGTGTATTTCGGAT